CTGTGCAAATAGACTAAGGGATGGGATGGCTTAAAATCAAGAAAGATGTGCATCATGGTGGTATCCTCTTACCATACTTATTCAGTCTGTATGCTGAACAAATCATGTGCCCAAGTCTACAAATCCAACATTAACCATTAACCTATATGTCTGACACCAATCCACAAAGTCCTCCTCCATCTCACAAAACACACGCAATGATGCTGACTGCAGGAGGAAAGCCGAGTCAGTGAATGTGTAAACATCTCAGTGCTGGCAGGAGTCTCCACACTGCTGCTCCAGCACCCAGGGCTGCATTGGGGTAAGTCCATGTGGCTGTTCCTTGGGGATGTCTTGCAGGAAGTGAGCCTTGCCATCTAAAGCAGGGAACTGGCTAATGCAGCTGCACCCTGGTCCGACCATCAGAAAGCAAGAGACTTGCGAACTCGAAAGGTGAGGCTCACTGAGCCATTTATCCCTCTGCCTCTCAATTAACCCCACCTGTGTTTATTAGCCAGGTTGGCACAATAAACTAACTACCTCAAGGGGGTACCAAAAACAAAACAAAACAAAACAACCCAGAATTTTTTTCAAAGCTATGTATTAAAAAATTTTTTTTTAATGGAACAATCTTTCACCTTCAAAGTACCCTTAATACATTTGTCAGACCTGCGATTCCATTCTTGGAAACATTTTTCAAACTCTGCTGTTTGGATGGCAGACAGCACTTCCCTCATTTTTTTTTTTCCACCTCTTCTACATCGTCAAATCATGTCCCTCTTTATTCATGGAAACAAAAAGAAGTTGCATGAACCAGGGTCAGGTGAGTCAGGTGTGTGGAACAAGAGAGGCATGCTGTTTAAAAAAAATTTTTTTTTGCCCCAAACTGGAACACTGAGATGGCTGTGTAAGCAGTTGCATTGTCGTGGTGGCAAAACCAGCACCCCCGTCTGCCACAAATCAGGCCTTTTTTGGTTGCACACTGTTATGAAATCTTTTTGGAACCGCTAAATAGAAAGCTTGATTAACAGTCTGACCTGGTGGAATGAACTCCAAGTACACCACCCCCTTCACATCAAAAACCAAATGAGCATCATCTTGATCTTTGATTTTACATGATGAGTTTTTTGGGGAGAGGTGATGATCGTGTCTTTCACTGGCTTGATTGATGTTTGGTTTCAAGGTCATAAGAATAGCACCATGTCTTGTCACCAGTAACGACCTTGGGGAAAAAAGTCTGGGCTCTTTGAAGCTGTTCTTGCAAAGCATGACATGTTTCCAGCCTGTGCTCTTTTTCCTGGTCAGTCAGAACCTGAGACACCAATTGTGCAGCGACCCTTCGCATTCCAAAATCTTCCATTAAATTTTGTTTACCTGAGCTCCACGATAGTCCAGATAGCTTCCCTATCTCTTCAATGGTCTGTTGTCGGTCTTTGAGCACAAGTGCATGAACTTTGTTGACATTTTTGTCTATTTGGAAAGTTGATGGATGTCCAAAACGAGGTTTGTCATCAATCAACATTCACCTTTTTTCAAATGAGAAAACCACTCATATGCTTGAGTTTTTCGCATAGCGTTGTCCTTGTAAGCTGTGTTCAACATGGCACCAAGTTCTGTGGCATTTTTCCTGAGCACAAAACAAGATTTCACAGCCACATGCTGTTCTCTTAAATCACCATCACAAAAAAGGTTCAAGTGAAACTGCTTTTATGAAAAAATTCACTGTGACTAGAGAGAACCTTCCCAGGCGATGACACTGGGTGCACTAACTCAGAGCTAGTTGGTCGATGCTTGCCAGGGGTGGTGGTGGTGGTGGTGAGAATGCATATTACCCAAACTCACCCCCGTGTATGTGACTGGCTGATTCAAAATGACCAATCCCAGTCCATTTCAGTCTAGTGTTTTTCCTTCAAGCATTCCAAATCATTTGTGACCACTTCGAATGTTCCTAGATTTATTCTTCCTATATTCCACATTCCAATTACTAATGGATGTTTGTAACTGTTTCTTCTTATATTGAGCCCATCAGGAAACGAGGGTCCCCAAAGTGTCACTCTGTCAGTGTCATTAAGGCTGACTGTAGTTTAAGGAGGCAGCTTTTCCGCAGCCATATTCTGAGAGCCTTCAAACCTACGAGGCTCCTTTTCCAGCGCTGTGTAAGACAGTATTCTGGTACTATACAAGATATTTCTCAGGTCACTTTTTGTCAGAAGTAGTTCATGAAGTAAGTCCTTCTTCCCTATCTGTCTGAGTTTGGAAGATCCTACGAAACCTGCATTTGAAATACCTCCAGTTTGCATATTGGAATCCAGCAATCTGCAAGCCAACATGTTATGACAAACCAACCAATGACTGGTGGCCATCACCAGGAACCCCAACTCTCTGCCCTCCCAGGCATCCCCGCTCCCCTCTGCTGCTGCCTCTGGCAACCTCCAATAAATGTCAATGCTGTTAAGTGTCATCCAGTGGTGACCTACATACAACAGAATGAAATACTACCTGGTCCTGCACCATCCTCACAATGGTTCTTATGTTGGAACCCATTGTTTCAGCCACTGTAGCAATCCATCTTGATGACAGCCTTCCTCTTTCTTGCTGCCCCTCTGCTTAGCCAAGCCTGATGTCCTTCTCCAGGGCTTAGTCTTTCCTGGAAACCTCTCCAAAGTATGTGAGATGAAGTCTGGCCATTCTTTTTTTTTTTTTATTTTTTATTTATTTTTTTTTAAATCTTTTTATTGTGGGCTCCTACAACTCTTATCACAATCATGCATCCATTCATTGTGTCACGCACATTTGTACATTTGTTGCCTTCATCATTTTCAAAACATTTTCTTTCTACTTGAGCCATTGGTATAAGCTTCTCATTTTTTCCCCTCCCTTCCTCACCTCCTGCCCTCATGAACCCTTGATAAATTATAGATTATTATTATTTTTTCATGTCTTACACTGACCAATGTCTCCCTTTACCCACTTTTCTGTTGTCCATCCCCCAGGGAGGGGGTTATATGTAAATCATTGTGATCGGTTCCCCCTTTCTTCCCCACCTTCCCCTTCCCCTCCTGGTGTAGCTACTCTCAATATTGGTCCTGAGGGGTTTATCTGTCCTGGATTCCCTGTGTTTCCAGCTCTTATCTGTACCCAGGTACATGCTCTGGTCTAACCAGATTTGTAAGCTAGAATTGGGGTCATGATAGTGGTGGGGAGGAATTATTAAAGAACTAGAGGAAAGTTGTGTGTTTCACTGGTGTTGTACTGCACCCTGACTGGCTCATCTTCTCATGACCCTTCTGTAAGGGGACGTCCAGTTGCCTACAGATGGGCTTTGGGTCTCCACTCCGCACTCACCTTCATTCACAATGATATGATTTTTTTGTTCTGGGTCTTCGATGCCTGATACCTGACCCTATCGGCACTTCATGATCACACAGGCTGGTGTGCTTCTTCCATGTGGGCTTTGTTGCTTCTTAGCTAGATGGCCATTTGTGTAACTTCAAGCCTTTAAGACCCCAGGTGCTATATCTTTTGACAGTCAGGCATCATCAGTTTTCTTCACCACATTTGCTTGTGCACCCATTTGTCTTCAGTGATTGTGTCGGGAAAATGAGCATTATGGAATGACAGATTAATAGAACAAAGTGTTCTTGCATTGAGGGAGTACTTGAGTGGAGGGAAGGCTGGCCATTCTTGATTCTAAGGAGCACTCTGGTTACACTTCTTCCAAGACAGGTTTGTTGATTCTCTTGTTGGTTCCACGGTACTTACAATATTTTTTTGCCTGCACCATAATCCAAATGCATCTATTTTTATTTGGCTTTTCTTAAGTTCAGTGTTCAACTGTCACATGAATATGAGGCAATTGAAAATATGACTTGGGTCAGGCATATATGAGTCCTCAAAGTAGCATCCTTGCTTTTCAACACTTTAAAGAGGTCTTGTGCAGAAGACCCAGTGCGATGTGTTGTTTGAGCTCATGATTGCTGCTTCCATGAGCATTATTTCTGGATCCAAACAAGACGAAATCCAACTTCAATCTTATTTTCATTTATCATGACATTATGTATTGGTCCATTTGTGAGAACTTGGGTTTTCTATACATTGAGCTGTAATCCATACTGAAGGCTGCAATCTTGATCTTCATCAGCAAGTGTTCATGAAAGTCTTCCTCACTTTCAGCAACAAGGTTGTGTCAGCTACATATCACAGGTTATTAGTAAGCCTTCCTCCAATCCTGATGCCTCGTTCTTCCTCATATAATCCAGCTTGTTTGATGATTTGCTCAGCATACAGATTGAATAGGTATGGTGGGAGGATACCACCGTGACACACACCTTTCTTGGTTTTTAAACCATGTCGTATACCCTTGGCCTATTTGCACAACTGTTTCTTGATCCATGTACAAGTTCCACATGCTATAGACTAAGAAACAAGTAAACTTTAGTCTCTCCCTATTTTCTTTCCTTGTCTTTTTATTTAAGTTAGGGCATACAATATCTGACCTTTCATGATTGCCTTATTTCATCTAGTATCATTTCTTCCAGCTCCACCTATGTTGTAGCTCATATTAAGACTTCACCAAGCCTACTGGCTAAAGAGTATTCCATTGTATGTGTGAAACATATTTCATTTATCCGCTCATCTGTCAGTAGACATTTAGGTTGTCCCCAACTCTTTGGCTATCTATTGTCACCATTCTGCAGTGAACATGATGAGTAGTTTCTTGAAGTTGCCTTCTCCGTGAGACTTTCTAATTTTCTTTTTTGACGTTTTCCCTACTTATTTAGTGGAAGTTCATGTTATGGTCTCTCAGCAAGTCTTTGGAATAGTTTCCCGTTCTCATCTCTCATTAGACCCTGACCTTAGACCCAGCGCTTTTCATGGAACACTGCACTCAGCTTTATTTTAACTCAAGATGATTCACATTAACTTTTTCAAGAAGAATAAAGTCCAACCAAGTGAATGATCTGACACGTTTTCTCCCCCATTGAAAAATCTTGACATAATTCCTGTTTGAATTGCACAATTTTCCTTCTGGGAAGTGACTTGAGTCGATTGGAGAAGCAAATGCACAATTGAGTTAGAGAGGATTGGAATAGTCATTGTTGACTACTGGCAAGCTACTGGGAACGGAGACCTACACAGAGCAGATAGATCTCTAAGCAGGCTTATTTGTTAAGCCATGTAAATAGTTTTGGCAAAGAATGATTTCTGTGGCTCTTCTTGCAAAGTTCTGGCTTTTTTATTCAGCCCGGGGCTGGGGAAAGTGACAACACAGCATTGTAGAAGTGTCTTGAGAGGGGAGATTGATGAGAAAGTGGAAGAGGATCCACACTGGTTTAGTGAAAAAGAACATTGTTCAGTGTTTGAAAATATTTCCGTCAAGTTGTGGCGCCTCCCCTTGGGGATTAACTCTTGAGCTTGATGGCCTTTCAGGAACTCTTGGACAAAGCCGGAGGGCAGGGGCGATTCCAGCTTCTTCAAATGGCTTTCCTTTTAGCTTCCATTGCTGTCGTGAACATCCACACTCTGCTGGAGAACTTCACTGCGGCCGTTCCTGGCCACCGCTGCTGGGTTCACGTTCTCGACAATGGTACTGTCTCTGTGAATGGCAGTGAGGCCCTGAACTCAGACGATCTTCTTAGAATCTCCATCCCTTTGGACTCACACCTGAGGCCAGAGAAGTGCCGCCGTTTCCTCCACCCCCAGTGGCAGCTCCTTCAGCCGAATGAGACTTTCCCCAACATGAGTGAGCCTGACACGGAGCCCTGTGTGGATGGCTGGGTGTATGACCGCAGCATCTTCTCCTCCACCATCGTGAATGAGGTGAGACACTCCATGCACATATTGGAATGGTTGATCATGTTCTCTTTGGAAAGCACAGGAAAAAATGCCTGCATTCCCAGAGCACTGACTATCTCTAGCTGTTCCCACATATACCTATGCTCTAGACCTATGTCATGTGAAGTCATAAATGACATGTTAATGCACAGTAGGTGGTCCTCCACAGACCTCTTGCCTACGGAAAGGCTTCTTGGAGGGTGTTCTGTCTAAGTGAAGATCCAAAGGATGTGTGCTAGCTAATGAAGTATGGTGTTTAGACAGTGCAAAGAGGAAATAGAAGAATACATGCAGATAGACTAGACTTGGGAGCTTGTGGAGTGAGAGAGCCTAGTGCTGCTTTCAAGCAGCTGAGAAAAGGTCAGCGTTTGTTGAGTGTAAGCTGGTGGGTTGGGAGGGTGGAAAAGGATGTTGGTGAGCAGCCTCCAATCAGCAGAGCATTTTGAAGATCACATAAAGTGGTTTGAATCAGGGAACACTAAGGAGTTTTAATTTCTCAGCAGCTCTTATGAACTGCCTTGTTCTCTCTGTTAAAAAAATAATTTTATTGGGGGCTCTTATAATATTCCATACATCAATTTTATCAAGCACATTTGTACATATGCTGCCATCATAATTTCCAAAGCATTTTCTACTTGAGCCCTTGATATAAGCTTCTACCCCCCCCCTCATGAATCCTTAATCAATGATATATATTTATTATTATTTCATGTCTTACACAGTCCACTGTCTTCCTTCACCCACCTTTCTCTTATTCATCCCCTTTGGGGTGGGAGACTATATAGCCAACCTTGTGATGGGTTCCCTTTCTCATCCCCTCCCTGATCATCCCCTTCCCCTTATGATATCGCTACTCTCACTACTGTTCCTGAGGGGTTTATCTGTCCTGAGTTTCACATGTCGAGAGCTCTTTTCTGTACCAATGTGTGTTCTCCAGTCTAGCCAGATTTGTAAGGCAGAACTGGATCATGGTAGTCAGGGAGGTGGGGGGGAAGCATTCAGGAACTAGAGGAATGATGAGTGTTTCGTTGGTGCTATATTGCACATTGGTTGAATCATCCCTTCCTTATATCCCTTCTGTGGGGGGATATCCAATGGTCTACAGATGGGCTTTGGGTCTCCACTCCAAACCCCCTCATTTGCATTGATATAGTTGTTTGTTTTGGATCTTCTGATACCTGATACCTGATCCAATTGATACCTCATGAGCAGCCTGCCTGGTGTGCTTCTTTTATGAGGGCTTATTTGCTTCCTTACTGGATGGCTGCTTCTTCAACTTCAAACCTTTAAGACTACAGATGCTATATCTTTTGATAGCCTGGCACCATCTGCTTTCTTCACTACATTTACTTATGCACCCATTTTGTCTCCAGCAATCGTGTCGAGGAACGTGAGTGTCAAAGAGTGCCAGGTTCTTAGAACAAAGTGTTCTTGTGTTAAGCGAGGCCTTGAGTAGAGGTCCAAAGTCTGTCTTCTGTCTTAATACTTAACATATAAATATATGTACATTGGTCTCTATTCCTTTCATTATAACTTAGTATATTTACATATATGCATGCCTATAGCTATACTTCTGGAAATAGCCTTTGCCTTCTATTTCTTTCCTGTATTTCCTTTCATCTTCTCCTGTCCCACTATCATGCTCACCCTCCACTCGGCTCTCAGTAATTCCTCTCGGATACATTGCCCTTGATTAAACCCAGCCAGGCATTATAGGCCCTCCTCACCATCAATTTTAGATCTCTTGTTGTTCCCTTATTCCTGAGTTTGTTGGCTCCCCACTTCCCCTCCCCACTATCATGCTCACCCTCCACTCGGCTCTCAGTAATTCCTCTCGGATACATTGCCCTTGATTAAACCTAGCCAGGCATTATAGGCCCTCCTCACCATCAATTTTAGATCTCTTGTTGTTCCCTTATTCCTGAGTTTGTTGGCTCCCCACTTCCCCTCCCCAGCCCCTTCTCTCCCATGTTCCCCCAGCCCCCCACCCGGCACCACTGGTCCCATTGTTTTCTCCTCAGGATTGTTCATCCTGCCTATCTTGTATAGATAGACATAGGACAAAACAAAAACAAAAGCAAGACAAGACATGTAAAAAAGATACGTTTCAGGTCTGTCTGCTGACCCTTATGTTGTGTTTTCTGATCAAGTCTGATGTGCCTCGTTCTCTTTCAGTGGGACTTGGTATGTGGATCTCGGATTCTAAAATCAGTGGCTCAGTTCATTTTCATGATCGGAGGGCTGATAGGAAGCCTTATATATGGCCGTCTCTCAGATAGGTGAGTGTCAACTTTTTGTTTTCCTCTCCTTAAGTTTGCTTATCACCTCATGTGTTTAGTCTATCATGGAAGAATATTTTGTTGTGCTTGGTCCTGTCCTTCCTCACAGGAATGACTCCATGTTCAGTGTAAGGGGAAGGGTAGATCAGGGAACTGACGATTGTAGTTCGTGCCTCATTCCCAGTTGGAGGCGCCATATGCAAGGAGGGAAGGAACCTAAGAGTTTTAGGGATGACTTTCTGAGAAGCTATTATGCTACAGGAGTTAGGTTAGAAATATGAACGAGCATCTATGCCTTAGCCATGCCCTGAACGTTCTGTACCTGTGATGCAGGAGCCAAGTACTTGAATGTCACAGAGAATGGTCATCATTTCATGGCTGGAAAATCGCTGCACAAGTGAAATGGGCTGAGATCATGATGACATTAGTTGTGTGACAGCATGAGGGTACTTGCATGTACTATGCATATTAGTTTATTGGTGACAAATTAGACAGCTTTTACGAGCAAATGAGTTAAACATGGAACCGAGTCTTCATTTATAAGAAGCTCAGGATGCTTACATTTGGCTGAACTGAAGGTTCCACAGTTTCATCGGCAGGTAAATGAATCATTTCTTTTATAAGGCTCAGCACAAAGCTGGTCCTATGAGGGAGAGGTTAAAGATGTCCCAAATGTCCAACTTCTCCACACTATTATCCTCCTCTGTCACCTCTAACACCAACTGCTTCCTCTCCCCACACTACTCTGCCTCCCATCTCTGAGTGGAGTAATTTGCTGTAACACGACACAGAACCCACAGACGGTATTTAGAGTCCAGCGGCTTATTAGGGAAGGTATTGGCACATTTCGGGATTAGGGTAAACTCGGAAGTGACAGGAACAACTCCAGGGACAGTCTCAGATCAGGGCAGCTTGGGCTCACCTTCTGCCACTGGGCCCTCTACTGGGCCTTCTGCACTTAGCCCTGTGGGTTGGAAAGCTGCACCCCTGCCTTCTTGTGCTGGCCTCCTGGTTGCTGCCATCGTGCACTGTTATCGCCCTGGCTGCCGTCATCATCAGATGCTCTATTTAGTGCTACAGTTTTTATCTCCTCTGTATTTTCTTAGTAAAACTTAGGCTGGGATGCAGATTATACATTCCAAGTCTTTCCCCTCTTCCACCTCCAGGAGCTCATGAACTAGCCAATCCCCTGTATGTGTTTCATGTCCCTAAGGTTCATAGTCCCACCCAATGATTTTGTGGGAGTTAGAAGACCATACATGGCTAGAAAGGCCATCTTATGGGAGTCTTTGTGGCTTAGCAGGCAGCCAACGCTACCACTCAAGTCTTTATCTTTAGTGATGAAATTGGGGGAAATCGAGACCCCTGTGAACACCTCGGGGCCCCGGTGGCGCAGTGGGCTATGCATTGATCTGCTAACTGACAGATGAGCCTGTCTACGCCTGTGAAGATCTGCAGCCTTGGAGACCCGAAAGGGAAGATCTCTCCTATCCTCACTGGAATCCACTTGATGGCAGGAGAACATGAACATTTCGTGACCCAATGCCTCAGAAATGCTGCTGCCAATTGTTTTGGGAGCTTATGGCAGTGACGTAGAACTTGGGTTCTTGGATCCTGTTGCTATTTTCACCAGTCCTCAGACCCTGGACCCTGTGCTCATTTAAATTACACAGCAGTTTAAATGGACAAGAGGAGAGCTGGAGAGAGGAGTTTTGATTTAGTATTAACTGAGGGCAAGAGGTGGAAAACAAGAGTGGGCATTTAGGCAAAGTTTGGCAGGGCCTGCTATACCAAGTCAAGGACTTTGAACTTCTTTCAGAAAGAAGTGTAAGGGGAACCACTGATGATTTTTTTTGTGCAGGGCCGGGAAATGGTTACATTGATATTTTGAAAAATTGAAGCTCAAGTATTCATAACATCCCCAAACTGAAAATATCACCCATTGGTGAGATGAACTTGTGGTGTAAACACGTAATAAACAATTCAACAATTTGAGTATTGATTTCAATTATAAGAATGAAGTCTGTCATTATCATATGGAGCCCTGGTAGCATTGTGGACTAGGTGTTGGACTACTAACCATAAGGCTGGCAGTTCAAAGCCAGCAGCTGCTCCGTGGGAGAAAGATGAGGCTGCCAGGAGTGAGCCCGACACGGAGCCCTGTGTGGACGGCTGGGTGCATGACCGCAGCATCTTCTCTTCCACCATCGTGAATAAAGCTTTACAGTATCAAGCTGTAAAATGTCATGTTCTTCTTTCTATATGCTTTTTAAACTTTAGTAAGAGTTATTATTCTGAAAAGTTTCACAAAAACATGGAAGTCAGGAAGTAGGGAAGTACGGGAGACCGAAGAAGAGCCTCTGAATGTGAATTATGGTGCTGGAGAAGAATATTGAAGGTGCCGTGGAGTGCCAAGAGCACCAACAAATCTGTCTTGGAAGAAGTGCAGCCAGGATGCTCCTTAGAGGCCAGCATGGCCAGACTTCATCTCCTGTACTTTGGACTCGTTGACTGAAGAGACCAGTCCTTGGAGAAGGACATCATGCTTGGTAAAGTAGAGGGACAGCAAAAAGGAGGAAGGCCCTCGACCCGACGGATTGATACAAGGTCAGCACCGTGGGTTCAAGCCCAAGAACAACTGTGAGGATGGCGCAGGAGCGTGCCGTGTTTCCTTCTGTTGTCCACGGGGTCGCAATGAGTTGGAACCGACTGGATGGCACCTAACAACAGCAGCAACAACAACAACAACAATAATGGATGTAGGTGGATTGGATTAGAAGAGGTTTGGAGAATGGGAAAGGAAATTAGATCAGTAAGTCCGTTAGCGTTAATTAGGTTTATTTGAGTGAGAAGCTACTTGCCAACAAGGAAAGTATATTCAGAAAGTGGCAAGGGCTTACTATGTATCTGGACGAGACAGTTTTAAAGGCAGTTAGAGGATTCCCAGCTAGGGACGTTATAGTGATTAGAATGTAGGTATAATATTAACTGAGCAGATGGTTTTATAAAGTGGAGTGTGGTGCAATGAGTTTCTGTGGGTTTTGTTTTTTTGAAAAACAACCTAGAGGAGCCCCCCACAATCATCTGAAGGTCTCTGAGATCTTTGCCTCGGTTCTTTGGGGAAAGCTCGCTTGGAAACCTCCCAAGTTGACTGCTATCTCCAAGGATTTGTTACTTCTGCCCATGCTGTGTGGTGGTGGTGGCGGGGAGCTGGTCGCTGCTAGCAGGCAATGTTATCTTTGCACAAGACCTGAGTTTATTGACATCACCTGAGTAGTCGAAGACTGGTTGGGCTCCACTCTGGTGAGGGAGGCCCCACTTTGTAACAGATGAAGTTTCATGGCTGAAGCTGAGGTTTGGGGCATCTTCCCATCTTGGAAAAGACACAGGAGCGGGGCATGTCTTTTGGGACACAGATGGCCTCCCAGACCTGGTCAAAGAGCTACCACAGACTGTGCTGCCAGTTAACAGCTGGGTGAGCTAGCTGAGTGAGCTGTGCCTGAGAGAACTAAGCAGAAGAGAGCTGAGCATGGCGACATTGAGCCAATTAGCAAGTTACTGCAGTGAGGCTGACAACAGAGAGGCTGATGGGAAAGAGGCACAATGGTGGCCAAAAGGCAAAACTACAGGAATGGAATGCATATTCATGGTTGTCAGAGGATGAGGAGGGAGGAGAGGCTGATGACAAAGATGTGGCTCCACAGATTTGTTAGGGTGATGGACTCGTTCTGGATGTGCTGTGGTACAGACACAGGACTCGGTGTGTTCTCAAAAGCCACAGGCCTGGGCATTGCAGAGTGGATTTTAATGTGTACGCGTTTACTCAACAGAGAAGCCAGAATGTCCGGGGAGTCCTGACAGGTTGTTGCTCAGAGCCCTGTTCAGAGTAGGTTCCAACTCACAGAGAACCGATGGACCGCAGCATGCAGCTCCGCCCGGTCCTGCGCCGTCCTCACAGCTATTCCTATACTTGAGCCCATAGGTGCAGCCACTGTGCCCATCCACCTTGCTGAGGGTCTTCCTCTCTTTTGAGACCTCTCTACTTTACCAAGCATGATGTCCTTCTCCAGGGACTGGTCTCCTCCCTTGACAACAGGTCCAAAGTATGTACGTCAAAGTCTCACCAACCTTGCCTCTAAGAAGCACGCTGGTTGTACTTCTTTCAGGGCAGTTTTGTTTGTCCTTTAAGCAATATTCTTCCCCAGCACCACAATTCCAGCACATCGATTCTTCTTCAGTGTTCCTGATTCAATGTCCAGCTTTGACACATAAAGGAGGCGTTTGAAAACACCATGGCTGGAGTCAGGGGCACCCCAGTCTTCAAAATAACATCCTTGCTTTTTAATACTCTTAAGGGGTCTTGTGCAGTAGATTTACCCAATGCAATGTGTCTTTTGATCTCTTGACTGCTGCTTCCATGAGCACTGATGGTGGATCCAAGGAAGACAAAATCCTTGACAACTTCAATCTTTTCTCCATTTATCGTGATGTGACCTATTGGTCCAGTTGTGAGGATTTTGGTTTTCTTTACATTAATTGTAATCAGTGGTGGTATTCAAAGAAGTTATCAACTGGCTCACTGCCCTAATGACCATTTTAAGTATAAAAAATAACATATCAAAAGGTGCTTTATTATTTCATGCAGTTAATAGTGAAATAAGAAAAAAGGGGTACACAAACTAGTTATGTTTTTAGAAAGAGTTTTAAAATATAAATGATAAATATTAAATAATACCGGGGGGAAAGCAATAAAACAGTTAAGATATTTCCACACTGCTTCTTGATTAGTGTTCTCACATGCAATATTCTTTGCTTTTATCTGGGCATCATTAATTGTGTGATTTATCATCATTTTTCTGTAGGAATACGATCCAATTTCTTTAGAGAGAGGCCAATTAGACAATAGTCATTGTGTTTTTTATATTAGACATAGTCAGGCAACTTCTCTTCTCTGCATATACGAGGGGATACCCCCCAAACCGGAATTTTTTTTCAAAATTATGTATTTAAATTTTTTTTTTTTTTTAGAAAACTAACTTATCACTTTAAAGTACCCTCCATAACACTTAATACATTTGCCAAATCTGTGATTCCATCCTTGGAGACATTTTTCAAACTCATCTGTTTGGATGGCTGACAGCAGCTCCCTCCTTCTCCCCTCAACTCTTCTATGTTGTCAAATTGCTGTCCTTTCATGTCCCTCTTCATTTGTGGAAACAAAAAGAAGTTGCATGGAGTGAGATCAGATGAGTCAGGTGCATGGGGCAAGAGATGCATGCTGTTTTTTGCCAAAACTGGAGCACTGAAATGGCTCAGTTAGCAGGTGCATTGTCGTGGTGGCAAAACCAATCCCCCATATGCCACAAATCAGGCCTTTTTATGTCATACTGTTACATCATCTTTTCAGAACCTCTAAGTAGAAAGCTTGATTAACAGTCTGACCGGGTGAAAAAAAACTCCAAATGCACTAAGAGTCGACATTTTCATCCATTCAGGAAGTTGATGGACGTCCAGACTGAGGTTTGTCATCAATCAGCATTTTACCTTTTTTTGAAATGAGAAAAGCAATTGTACACTTGAGTTTTTCCCATAGCTCTGTCCTGGTAAGCTGTGTTCAAAATCACAATAGTTTCTGGGGCATTTTTCCTGAGCAGGAACCAAAATTTCACAGCTTCATGCTGTTCTCTTAAATTGGCTATCACAAAAAATTAAGATTGTAGCAAAATTGCTTTTACGAAAAAATTTACTGTGACCAAAGAGAACCTTCAGAGGTGACACCACTGGGTGCACTCACTCAGAATGAGTTGCTCAATGCATGCCTAGCAGGAAAAATGTGTACTAAAAAGCTCCTCTCTGCATTACAATTCTGTTGTGTTTTTTTGTTACCCCCTTGTATTATACTCATCTTTGAAAAACCTCCTTTCCACTTCTGCTGAACTTAAAACAATTGTTCTGACAATATTGTTAGCTCTTTGAATGCTTTAAGGAATTGCATGATTCACTCATAATATTTTGTGGGAATTTGGGGCATAACACGAAGCTGAAAGGAATGACAGCATGTCACCCTCTGGTTGGCATTTTTTCTCTTGATGTTATGTGTTTGTCTACTGAAGTAATGTATGCAAGGGAATAAGAACATAGAATTTCATCAAAAGTATAATGAGTTATGAAATGAAAAAAAAAAAAATAAAAACAAAAGCCCAATTAATGTTGATACTTATGGATGGAATGAACATTAATACAGGTCCTTAGAATATACTGTTGCACAGGTGAATGTTAAAAAAGAGTAAGGATGTAAAATTGTGATTTCTACATTGGGGGGCTACCCAGCCGCTCACCTTAGAGAGCAATCTGATTACAAGTGTCATTTTAACAACTCGCTTGCTGAACTCAACAAAAAAATTAGGTATTGGTTCTGCTGGACCAGTTTGAACTGGTTTAATGCACCCACTGCCTAGATAGCATAGCTTTGCATGGGAATTGACTCCATGATTGCAGTGGGTGAACTGGGTATGCTTTTTTCTGGTCTTGTGTTTTTCTGGTCTGCCCAAATGACTGGTTGGGCCACAATGTGCCCTGTGATTGGTCTGTTTTGTGCACCTTGCAGACGCTAGAGACTGTTGTATAAAGCCCATTGCTGTAGCCCTGTTGTCATCGACTCAGAGTGACTTTATAGGACAGAGTCAAAATGCCCCATCGGGGCTCCAAGGCTGTATTCTTTGTGAGAGCAAATGGGCACATCTTTCTCCTACGGAGAAGCTGGTAGGTTTGAACTGCTGATGGTCTGGTTTGCTGTAGAGCGCTTAACCACTGTGCCACCAGGATTCTTTATTATGCAAATAGGGTGTGCCAAGCTATGCCAAGGATTAAGTCACCTTTCAGGGACTGATGGGTGGTGCCTGACTGGAAGAGCCATGCCTTTAAACTGACTCCTGGTGACTTCGTATGTGAAGAGCAGAATTGCTCTGCAAGGTTGCCAGGAGCAGAGTGCCAGACCTGTGTTTCTAAACATCTCACGGTGGGTTCAGGCGGTCCACTAGCTGGTGGTCAAGCACTTAAGTGTTTATACCAGCCAGGAACCATCATCAACCATTCTCACTGACACTGAGTCAATACCGACTCATAGTGAGCCCAGAGAACAGGGTAGAACTGTCCCTGTGGGTTTCTGAGACTTAACTATTTAAGGGAGTCAAAAGCCTCATCTTTCTCTCACGGAGTGGCTGGTGGTTTTGAACTGCTGGTATTCTAGTTAGCAGACCAACACATCACGGCTATACCACCAAGGGTCCCAGTAAGGAAAAGCAAATAAGAACCATAACGTACCCACTAAGATGGTATTGGTGAATTGAAACCAAACCAAGCACAATGGGTGCTGGCCAGGAAGTGGAGGAATTCGAACTCTCCCTCCTTGCTGGTGGGAATGTAAAATTGGTACAGTCCCAGTGGAAAACACTTTGACGGCTCCTCAGAAAGTTAGACAATGGATGGATGACCATAAGAGCCAACAATTCTTGTATATATTCAAATAGTTGGAGTCAGGAACACAAACAGATATGTGCACGTCACTGTTCACTGTGGTAGACTTCACAACAGCCAAAAGAGGTGTAAACAGCATGAGTGTCTTATCAAAAATGGGCAGTAAGCGAAATGTGGTACATGCATACACAACGGGGTATTACTGAATCATAAGTAGATACGAAGTTCTGATACATGGCACAGCACTGAGGGGCCTTGAAAACACGACGCTACGTGAGATAAATCCATCGCGAAAGTACAAATAATACCACTTAGATGACATATGTTGAGTAGGTAAGTGAATAGAGACCCAAGTTTCAGAGGGAGGAAGGAGAGCGACTGTGGGAGTGAGTGCTCAGGGAGCACTGGGACGGGTGTTGGACACGGATAGCAGTGAGAGTTGCATACCATGATGATCCTAACTAACCCAACGGAGCTGTGCATGTAAAAATGTTGTTTTATGTGTGCGTGCAAGCTCAGTTCCTTTATCATGCCACGTAAGTCCAGGTGTCATCATGGACCACTACCCTGCCCAGTGTTACCGATATCGTAAGAACAAGCCCCAAGTCCCACTTCTGCTGAGGTGTCCCTGATGCCAAGATGTGCGTCTTTGGCCTGGGTTGGACAAAGGCAGAGGTGGATGAATTCCCGAGGTGTGGCCACATGGTGCCTGAGGAATACCAGCAGCTCTCCTTGGAAGCCCTGGAGGCTGCTCACTTCTGTGGTAACAAGTGCATGGTGAAAAGTTGTGGCAAAGACGGCCTCCACAGCCGAGCGCAGATCCACCCCTTCCAGTCATCTGCACCAACAAGACAGGCTGCATATTGGGGTGCGAAGGGCATTTGGAAAACCCCAATGCACAGTGGCTGGGGTCCACATTGACCAGGTCATCACGTCCATCAGCATCAAGCTTCATAACAAGGAGCACGTGATGGAGGACTTACACAGGGTCAAGTTCAACTTCTCTGGGTGCCAGAAGATCCACATTTCCAAGAATTGGGGCTCCATCCACCAAGTTGAATGCAGATGAGTTTGAGGACATGGTGGCTGAGAAACGTCTCATCCCAGTTGGCTGTGGAGTCAGACACCCCCAACCGTGGCCCCGTGGACAAGCGGTGAGCCCTGTCTTCATGACGGCCTTGGTAGCCCCGTGCCCTCCCTGACCTGTGGCCACCAATAACTTGAGCTTCCGGACTCCAACAAAACAAAACAAAATATGACAACTCACTTTATAGTTCTAGGTATAATACTTTATTGGAGCATCACTGCAGGTGAGCTCTCTCCAAGACAACAGAGCCCGTCTTCTTCCTTCATAGGTTTGGACGGAGGCCGGTGCTCCGATGGTGTTTCCTCCAGCTGGCTGTGGTTGGGACCGCTGTGGCCTTCGCGCCCTCCTTCCTCGTGTACTGCTCCCTGCGCTTCCTGACGGGCTTTTCCTCCATGGGGGTTCTAGTCAACTGCGGCTTGCTCAGTAAGTCAACCCTTGAGAGCTTCCACCTTCTCTCTGAGCCCAAATGGATGATGCCACTTCACCTTTGTCTGAAAGTAATGCCACGCTGGAGTTTTCTTTCAGTTTCAGAATGGACGGTGACTGAGTCCAAAGCCATGGTGACCACGCTGGGGAACTGTGCCTCTAGTGTTGGACATATCATCCTGGGAGGCCTGTCGTACGCAGTTCAAGAGTGGCGCACATTCCAGTTGGTGGTGTCTGTCCCCCTCTTTGTCTTCTTTCTGGCCTCCAGGTAGGAGAAGCTACTCCCTTTTAAATGCTTTAGATATGTCTATAGACAACAAACAAACAACAAAAAAATCCCAATATACCAACAAACCCAGGGACAAGGGAATAATAAGAGCGCTAAAATCAATTGCAAAGAGGGTATAGAATGCCTGGTGGGGTTTGATCAAGTTCAATGTAGCCGAGAGAAAGTACTGAGAGTTGAATGAAGGTTGAACATGAGAGTGGGACAGGAGGAAAGTAAAAAGAAATAGAGGAAAGAACTAAGAGGCAAAAGACAGTTATAGAGGTATAAATAGAGGCAGGCATATATGCAAATACATTAATATATAACAATAGGGATATAGTCTATGTACGTATATTTAAATGTTAAGTATTATGGTAACAGATGGACATTGGATCTCTATCAAGGACTCCCTCAATGTTCTAATAACTTGGTATGCTGTGATGCTCACCTTCCTGGCACAATTGCTGAAGTCAAAATGGGTGCATAAGCAAATGTGGTGAAGAAAGCTGATGGTGCCTGGCTATTAAAAGATGTGTGTCTAGGGTCTTAAAGGATTGAAAGTAAACAAGCTCTCAACCAGCAGGGAAGCAACAAAGCCCACATGGAAGAAGCACACCAACCTTTGTGATTATGAGGTGTCGACAGGATAAGCTATTAGGCATCAGAAGACCCAAACCAACAAATATATCCATGCAAATAATGGAGTTTGGAGTGGAGACCCAAAGCCCATCTGTAGATAATTGGACATTCCCTCACAGAAGAGTCACAAGGAAAGAATGGGACAGACAGGGTGCAGCACAGCACCGACAGAACACACAACATTCTTCTAGTTCTTTAACGCTCCCCCCACCCTCACCATCATCACCCCAGATCTACCTTACAAACCCGGCTAGACCAGAGCATGTACACTGGTATAGATAAGAGCTCTCGACACATGGAATCCAGGACAGATAAACCCCTCAGGAACAATAATGGGAGTATCCATACCATGAGGGCAGGGGGAAGGTGGGGAGAGAAGGGGAGAAGTGGGAAACCAACTACAATGACCGACATATAATTCCACCCACTTTCCAGGGAGACCAACAACAGTAACATGGGTGGGGTGAAGGGAGACAGCGGGCAGTGTAAGATGAAAATAATGATAATTTATAGTTTATCAGGGCTCCATGAGGGTGGGAGGGTTGGGGGAGGGAAGAAAAAAAATGAGGATCTGATACCAAGCGCTCAAGAAGAGAGCAAATGTTTTGAGAATGATGATGGCAACATATATACAAATGTGCTTGACGCCATGGATGGATGTGTGGATTGTGATAAGAGCTGTAAGAGCCCCAATAAATGGAGATGTGGGAGTAGCAATGATCCGGGACATTGGGGCTGTGGTACATCATGGAAGTAAATTTTAAAATTCCCTGTGAAACTCTCTTTATGATAGAAAAGAACGTAAAACCACATCAAGAGGTAGGGTCTCTGCTAACTGTTTCTATAAAGAGCCATTCAGTAAGCGTTGTAGACGTCGTGGGCCATGTGGTACCAACTCTGCCATCCCAGCACAACAGCGGCTATAGAGAGTTCACAAATGTTGTTTTCCAACGAAGCTTATTTGCAAAAGAGATGTATAGGCTGCTTTTGATAGGAGGGATTGATTTCCATTCCCTGACCTAAATAATTTATGGAGCAATTGGAGGTCCCTGAAATCCAAACGTAACTAGCTTCCTAGAAATCCTGTTGTTAAGACATGCCCCAGTTAAACTCCAAAGACTTTTTTTTTCCCCCTTCATGATTTTGGGCCTTTGTTGGGGAAGCTAACAAGTTACAAAATATTTAGGATATGATTCTTTAAAAAAAAAATCAGTTTTATTGAAATGTAATTCATCTATCAATGGATTAAACATATTAAAAAGATTTGTTCAATCATCACCACAATCCGTTTTAGAACATTTTCTTCTTTCTTGTACTCATTATTATTAGCTCCTCATTTCCTTCCATCCTCTCCCAGCACAACCCCAAGAGACTATTAATCCAGTTACAGTCTCTGTAGTAATTCCTGAATTTCCTATAAAGAAAAACATACACAATTTAACCAAACCCAACAACAATAGCAAAATAAAACAGAGAAAAATCTTAATGGAAGAGAAATCAGGAAATCAGGAAAACGAGAACATATTTAAAATGTGTCAAAAGGGAGAGCGAGTGATAAGGTGTTGAATTTGAATCTACCTACATCTTCATTACTCTGCTTGCCTACGCATTCTGTCTGGTAGCAAGGCCATTCATATGCCTGGCCAGCAAGGGTAGTCATATCCCTGGTCAATGGTCAGAGGGGCCTCACCAGAGGCTTAATCTGCATGGAGACTTGACAAACGGATTTCGGACTTTCACTGTCATCCATAGATTTCTGGAATTTGGATGCTCAGAATTTAAGCTCTCATACTGTTCCCTCCTTCGGATTTGGATCTTATTTGCAATCCTTGGATCACACAGGCTGATGTGCTTCTTCCATGTGAACTTAGCTGACACCTCACTACATGGCTTCTTGTTTTGAGATAAGCCTTTCAGACCCCAGACACTATTTTTTCCCCCTGTAGCTGGGCACCAGTTCATGTCTTCACCGCACTTGTTCAGTACTCATATCTTCAGGGATCTCTTCATGAGGGGCAGTGTTGAGGAGAGCCATGTCATAAGAGCTAATGGTTCTGAGATTAGGGGTCTACTTAAGTGTGAGCTCATTCATACATCTATGCTTTATATATGCCCCTGGTCCACTTTAGAGCCATCATTGTCATTTTATTGGGGAGCCTTATGAAGTATCTCATGGGGCCTATAGCGCTTCTACTGAGAGTATTGCTCATTTAGTCAAGGATATAGAATTTAAAATACTGTTGAGGAAAGGAACGTATCCATGTCTAGGACAGCATTTTAGACTAAAATACATGGATTCTTGCCTTGTACAGATGAACAACATTAGTGACGGTACACTGTGTAAATAATGAGGGTTGGAGATAGGCAAAACTTTCAACAGTGTTCATTCACAAGGTCAGAGCTACGCCTGCTGGATTAAGACACGCCAAGCCTAATCTTTAACAACTGTTTTTTACATGAAAAATAATACCATTCTCACATTTTCCTCTTTCTACTTGATTTTGGGTAGTGAGAGCAATGAGTCCAGCAGTAAGTAATCAACAGAAAAGGATGTGTGTCTCAGATCACAGATTCTGAGGCGAATCCGCAAGGGCTATTTGTCTATACTTCTGTTTCTCCTCTGATCAGGTGGCTGGTAGAGTCTGCCCGGTGGCTGATTGTCAACAACAAACCAGATGGGGGCATAAAGGAACTTAGAAAAGTAGCATGCGTGAATGGAATAAAGAATGCTGGAGAAATTCTCACCATGGAGGTGAGAGGGAAAGGAGGGAAGACAAAATCTTTGTTGCTGACATGGAGTTGGTTCGGACTCACGGGGCCTCTAGGTACGCCAGGACAAAACATTGCCTGCCGGGTCCTGTATCCTGCTTACACGAGTGGGCATGCTTGAGCCCATTGTTGTAGACGCTGTGTCAATCCATCTTGTTGACCCAATACTTTACCAGGCATGCCCTCCTTCTCCAGGCACTGGCCCCTCCCGATGACATGCCCACAGCGTGTGAGAAAAAGTCTCACCGTCCTCACTTCTAAAGAGCATTCTTGTTGCTCATCTTCCACAACAGGTTGGCTTGTTCTTCTGGCAGCGCTTGGGATGGTCAACGTTCCTCACCAATAGCCTACGTCAAAGGCATCGTTTTCGTACTTGGTCCTCTTTATTCGTTGTCCAGCTTTGGCATGCCTACGAGGCAACTGAAAATAGCAGAGCTTGGGTCAGGGGCACCTTAGTCCTTAAAGTGGCTTATTGACTTTTTAACACTTAAGAGAAGTCTTTTGTAGCCAAAAGACTGCAACACAGCGTTTGAGTTCTTGAGTGGTGCTTCCATGGACGACGATTGTGAATCCCAGTCAACTGAAATCCTTGACAACTTTAATAAGTGTGGTGAAAGAATACCACCCTGGCACACACCTTTCCTGATTTCAAACCGTCAGTAACCTCTTTTTTTGTCGTTCAAATGACTGTCTTTTGGTGTGTGTACTTATTCTGTGTGAACACAATGAAGTGTTCTTGTGTTAGTCTGGGCAGACTAGAGTAACAAATCCATGGAGACACTCATATGCATATAAGGAAGAGGTTTATATACAAGAGTAATTGTACATTATGAAAGCATCCCAACCCAGTCCAGTCCAACTCCATAAGTCCAATATTAGCCCATATGTCCAATACCTATCTATAGAGTCCTCTTCAGACTCACAAAACACATGCAACAAAGCCAAATGCAGGACGATCACAAGCCAGTGGGTAGAAAGTCTTTTGGTCCAGTGGCGTTGTAAGCATCTCAGCACTGGCAGGGGTCTCTCTGTGGCTTCTTTGGCTTCAGAGGTCTGGTTGCATCCATGTGGCTTGTCTTCTGCAATGTCTCCCAGGGAGTGGCAGAGAGAGAGGTGTCTTCTGCCTCCAAGGAGGACGTCCAAGATTCCCCAGAATTCTCAGGAGAAAGCCATGCCCACACACAAGTCTCATTGGCTATCTCCAGATTGACAGTCTAGACCCCACCCTTACACTCTTTCTTTTTTTTTTTCTTTCTCCTCTCTAAGGACCCGATAGGAGAGAATAGAATTACCCCTGTGGTTTACCGAGGTTGTACATCTTTTTTTCCTTCTTCTAATTATTTTATTAGGGGCTCATACAACTCTTATCACAATCCATACACACACCAATTGTGTAAAGTGCATTTGTACATTCATTGCCCTCATCATTCTCA